AAACTTGTCTGTTCAAGTTCGGGTGGCCATATCTCTTTTGAGCCAGTACTGAACGCTTAACATGAAATGCAACATTGATGAACTTTGAAGAGGCAAATACTTTTTTTAGATAAAAATAAAAATGCAACACTGTACAAAACTAGAGGATTTTTTTAAGCTACTTCAAAGATAAAAAATGTAAAGAACCAGAGGATCTTTTTGTCGTATTTGTTATGTTTCAGTAAATTATGTAACTGCTATACGCTAGACAATAAAATCAGTGTTTTGTTGGAGAAATAATACAGTATTTTGCTTTACAAGATTTTGAAAATGTTCTACAATACAGCGAAATGCTATATACGTATGGTCACCCTTGTTAAATTATAAGTGTATACAAATGTAAAATTTGTCTTAACACAATAAATGGTAACTAACTTACAAATACCAATATTAAGTCTTCTAAGTTATATTTTTATTTAAAGGTCCTTAGAAATTTTACATAAAAACGGAAAAACACACAGTGAACTATTAGCTGAACAACTGTCTGCTAATGATGCATCTAAATCAGGAGGTGGCCTTCGTTTTCCAAATTCATTAGTTTTATGGTTGCAGTGTGATCAGGTATTTAAAAAAAAAATACTAATTAAATATTTAAAAATTAAATTTAATTCTCTTTTTAGAAAATTTTAGATAAAAGATTAGATGATCGTGTTGATTCTATGTTAGAACAAGGATTAGTAAAGGAGCTGTTGGATTTTCATAAAACATACAATGAACAAAGAATATCAGCAAATAAGTAAGTATTATTAACAGTTTAGATCTCAAATTTTCAGTAAAATTCAGTAAAAATATAGATAATCCTGTAGTCTATGGTCTTTTTAATGCGCATGTCTGCACCATTGCTTCTCATGCTCACGGTATCAATTTGAATCGTTACATAATAATAGTTTATTTGTCCTTTAAGATCAATTTACGTGGAGAAACACATTTCATACACTCTAACTCAGGTTTTGCTACCCCGGGATTTGTTACAATTTTTAAAAACAGTACATTTAGTTTTTTTATTTATTTATTTAATGGGAAACCCTTTTTTAGTAAAGTAATATAGTGGTATTTAACCTACATAGATACAAAATATAATGCGATGTTTATCAATGAATAACAGATAACATGTTTTTAAAGGTTTGACCTCAACTTGGCTTCAAAAAAGCTCAATAAATTCAATGATCTGTTCACCAAGCATATTGTATGTTCTTGATAAGCAAGAGACAGGAGTGAGATATCCATAATTTGTATAATGAAATGGAACAGCCAACAAACTGTGGTTATGAGCGGTCCTATTTTGAATCCTAAGTGGAGAAAAGGGATAGAAGTTATGGGCAACAAATATATCCTGACAACAGTTTAAGTAACGAAGTCATTCTTCAAACTTCCTCATAACTGTAATTGCCAACCTGTAACATTTTATACACTGCAAATTTCAAAAATTTGTGTTGTATTCTTTCAATTGCTGAGATATGAACCTCATAATAGGGAGTCCAGACTATAGAAGCAATATGAAGTAACGAACATACCAGAGCATTATAAACCACTAAAATGGCTTTAATTGTTAAATATTTTGTATTATGCATTGTAAATCCCAACATTTGATAACCAAAATATACCTATATCCTTAATAAAATCAGATCTTTCAAGAACAACATCTATTAAATAGTTAAATATTATTGATGCCTCTTTACGACAGAATAATATTACATTCCACTTAGTTAAGTAAGGTGGAGGATTATTATTTTCGCACCACTTGGATAAATATAGCAGATTTTGCTGAAAATTTAAACAGTCGGTCATTGTATTTATTTCACAGAATAGCTTCATGTCATCTGCATATAGTTGATATTTGGCACTCAAATTTTTTGCCATATCGTTTATAAAGATTATGAACAGTAATGGCCCCAATACGGAACCTTGTGGTACACCTGACGTTTGATGGAAGATGTGAGATTTGTGTCCCAATATTTGATCTAATTCTAGACGCCAGTGCATTAAAAGGGCAGTAGACTAAAAGATTACCAAATTGTTATTAAATAAATTTATCAACACGAGTGATAAATACTAAAAACAAAAACAGTCTATGTACAAATATAAGTTGTTTAAATGATATAATCACTATTCTTTAAAGGCTTAGTTAATTTATTGTGAGAAAAAATAACTCAAAATACGTGAATTTGGAAATAATGTACGAACATTAATCATCAATGATAATAATTTATTTCTTTTACCTAATACTTTAATTACTTTTTATTTCTATAGAACTCCTGATTATACTAAAGGTGTATTCCAGTCAATTGGGTTTAAAGAATTTCACCCATACTTAATTTTAAATGAAGAAGAACGGAAAACTGAAGATGGTAAGGCAAAATTGGAAGAAGGCATTAAACAGCTCAAAATGGTTACCAGAAGATATGCTAGGAAGCAAAAGAAATGGATAGTAAATAGATTCCTTGGTAGGCAAGATAGACAGGTAAGGCATGTTCGAAGTCAAATCAAAAATGCTTTATTAGTAGAAGAATAAAATTATCCTTAACAAAGTCAATAACTAAGGGGTTGTGTCCTAAAAAAAAAGAGTGTGTTATCGCACGTACGATAAAAGTAAAACAGAATGATACTTCAAGTGGAGACTAAGGTGTCGAGGTTTTGGGACATCAAAATGTTTTTTTTATCAATTCACTACTAATGTTTTTCATACTAACTTATAATTTTTATTTTTGTATCTATCTATTTATTTATTTTAATTTATTTATTTTTGATACTGATGATGCACGAACGACTATCGTACACAGTCAGAATGAGAATTATAGGCTGTTGAGGTATTGGGACATCGAAATATGTCGTTTGTCAAGGTGTCGGGTCTTCAAAATAATATGTCGTTTCTATTCTATTCTATTCTATTCTATTCTTTATTAATCCATTTAAACAGTTATAATGTTATTGGACACGTCAGAATTATAAATATAAAGGTGTATACAATAAATAAAAGTAATTAAACAAAACAATACAGACAAATATAGAAGAGACAAACGTAGAATGGTAGGCGAAAAGGGGCATTTGTATAAATTTATCTAGAACAGTTTGGTGGTGAAGCATGTGGTACAAATTTATATTGAAAATATTCTTGCACTGAATATGGACATATTTCTAAAAGCTGTTGTTTTATTCGATGATTAAATGTTTTTAATGTTGATTCATTTTTTATGCTCTGTGGCAGTTTATTGAATAATTTTATTCCAAGAATTGTTGGTGACTTAGCACAAATATTTAGCTGTGCTAACAGAGGAACAAGTTCATCTTTGTTCCTGGTGCTATATGAATGAAAGTCGCTATTACGTTTAAAATTCGATTTGTTTTTATATATGTATATTAAAAGTTCTAAAATATATACTCCGAATACGGTAAGGATTTTAAGTTTTTTAAATAGAGGGCGACAGGAATCTGTTGGTAGAATACCAGCCAAGCATCTTATAATTCTCTTCTGAGATATAAATACTTCATTAGCATGGGATGATCCGCCCCATACACAGATACCATAAATCAACCTAGAATGTACATTTGCGAAGTAAATTTGACGAAGATGGTGAGGTTTTAAAATGCATTTAAGGTTACGAAGTTGAAAACATTGTGAGTTTAAGGTTGTCGCTAAATTTTGACAGTGAGTTTTAAACGATAGATTTTCATCGAATGTTATTCCTAGAAATTTTGTGGAATCAACTGTATTTATGTGTGTGTTGTTTACAGACATATCTAGACAAGGTATATTAGAATTTTGGTATGTATGGAAATAAATGTAGTTAGTTTTTGTAATATTAAATAATAATGAGAGATTACTAGCCCATTCCGAGAATATTTTAATTGACCTATCGATTTTATTTTTCAATTGTTCTTCAATGGGATCAGAAAACAAGAAAGTCGAATCATCTGCATAGAGAATTGTGAATGCATGGTAAAGTAATTCTGGAAGTTCATTTACATAAATTGTGAAAAGTATGGGAGCTAACACTGACCCTTGGGGCACTCCTATATTATTTATTATTTCTTGAGAGAAACACTGTTTTCCTGAGTTGTTACTTTTAACCATTTGGGGTCTATTTGTAAGATATGTTTCAAACCATTTATTTTGATTGCCTCTAATTCCAGATGAGTGAAGTTTATTTAATAAAACATCATGCTGAACACAGTCAAAGGCTCTGCTAAGATCACAGAAAATCCCAGCCGAACCCCCACTACACTCAATAGATTGAAGCACTTTTTCGTATAAGGAGATAATGGCTGTATTTGTAGAGTATTTAGGACGGAATCCGTGTTGAGATTCAGATATAATCTGATTTAAGTTAAGGTATTTCATTAGTTGCTCCAGCATTATGTATTCGAATATTTTTGAAAGAGTAGAAGTCATTGAGATAGGTCGATAATTAGACATATCGTGCGGGTTACCTCTTTTTAATATAGGCGTTACTATAGATGTTTTTAATCTTTCGGGAAAAATACCTTCTTCCAGGGAATAATTAATTATATGAGTTAGTGGTGTTAAAATATATTCTGCGATTTTCTTTATCAAGTTTCCAGAGATATCGTCAAAACCGCTGGATGGTTTGTTTTTGATTTTTTGTTTTATGACTGAGTTTACATCTGATTCAGAGACATAAGAAGTAAAAAAGCTCTTTGTGGGTGACTTATTGTTATTATATTTATGATTTGTTTTTGGAGTTGAGATTCTGTTAATTGTTTCATATGGAATCGAAGTAAAAAACTGATTGAACATATCAGCTATAGTTGTTGGGTTTTCAATAATTTTGCCATCGTTGTGAATTGAAATACTCTTTGTTGTCTTTGTCTTGCCTTGTAGTTCATTTATGACTTTCCATGTTGCTATATTTTTATTTGCCGAATCCTTAATTTTATTATTATAATATTCGGATTTCGTGTTTTGAACAAGCTTTCTATGATTTAATTTAGCATGATGATAACATTCATGCAACTCGGGGAATTTTTTCTTCAATTGAAATAGATCTTTTAATTTATTAGAGGACTCTTTTATGTTCTTATTTACCCAACAGCGAGGTGGTAATCTGGAAGCATTTATTTGTCTTAAAGGGCAACTAGCGTTAAAATAGTATGTTAAAGTATTGTGAAACACATTGAATTTTGAGTTGGTAGTATTTTCTTGATATATCCCATTCCAGTTTTCTTTGGAAAGGTATGTTATTAGGTCGTTAATGTTAGTCTCTCCCATTAATCGACTTTGATATGAGCTAGGATTGGTTTTTAGTTTTAGCTTATTGAATTTTAACAGGAAATTGTCATGATCTGAGTCTGTATTTAAAGTTACGATTCCTACAGTATCTTTGTAATTTGTGTAAATCTGATCAAGTACATTACTACATGTTTTGGTAGTTCGAGTAGGAGTAAAATTTTTTGGGATGAGCCCATATGATGTGACTAACTGTTCAAAGGCAAAGCTTTGATTTGAGTTCATAGAGGTATGATTAAAATCCCCAGAGAGAACTATGAAATACTTGGGCTGATAAATTTTATTTAGAATTAAGTTAAGATTGGATAAAAATGTTGTAGGATGTCCGCTAGGTGACCTATAACATGAGAGAATTATAAATGTATCGCCATTGAATATCCACCTTATACCACATATTTCTATTTCCTTCTCTATGCAATATTCTTCAAAGGAAATCGATTCAATTATGAGATGTTCTTTGGACCATATGCAGACACCACCTCGTTGATACAATGAACGACTAAAACAACTAGCTAGGTTATAACCTGGAAAATGAAATGTTTTTATATCAATTCACCAAATGTAACTACCGGTTAATCCTAAAGACCAACGCTCGTCACCAAATGTAACAACCAGTTATGTCTAAAGACCATTTGTAACTACTGATAGGTCTTTAGCTACTGTTACTATACTATTAAGGGATTAGGGCAGCGCCTGTCACCAGCCCTAGGGTCCTGGAGTCCTGAAGGAACATCCATTCGCCAGTGGCAAAAAAAAATAATAAAGAAAAAATAATAAAATACAAAAAAACATCCCTTAATAGCATATGTCGAGCGGTTCATGGCAACTAGTTTTAGACTCTTTTAGTCCTAAGGGAATAGAAACGCCGAGGCTTCTCAAATGCTCGGAGTATTTTTGCTGGTTTGGGAAGGGAGGAGAAATTAATAATAAGTATTAAAACCTTAACAAATGTATATTAACAATAAATATAAAACTTGACAAATAGTCTTCAGAAAAATGAGTAAAATTCCATTTAGGGAATAAAGTACTATAACTAATAGTAATAAAGATATGCATAACATATAATTAGGGACGAAAATGTAAAATTGGCATTTATATGTAAATCAATTATTATTAAACAAAATTAAGTTAAAATATTTACCCATAATTCACATCGTACACAAAAAACTTTACACATTACTTTACAATAAAAAAACCAGGGTTTCGCACGAGGGGCGAAAGTTCTGGACCTTAGTCCGAACCCGACTGAGCCTTTCCCCCAAGTGATCCTTTCTATATAAACCAAAATTTATGTGACTGTTGATTGTATTTTACAATGTCACGTTCAATGTAAATTAATAAAATGAAGGTTTGTTTCATTGTCATAAGTGTCTTTTTAATTATTTAATTTAAACATTAAATACTTGTTTAGAATTTTTGGTAAATTCTTTAGATTTTTTCAATTAATAATAATGCCAATTATTACATTATTCCCCCGACAGAAAAAAAATTGAACTACTTGTTCAATTCTTTTTAAACCCCTTAATGTAAATAATTTACAAACATTTTTAAAACAATCTACAATAATATGATAACCTCACGCTTGCTATCAATTCACTCCTGACATTTTATATGCTAGAACGAGCCCTAAGAAGTGTTTCACTTCAAAATAATTTTAATGGAGTAAGATCGAGTGATCTTGCTGGCCACTCAATTTGGAAATATAGATCTGTACATTTTGAGCAAAATGTGGTGGTGCCTTATCTTGTTGAAACCATATCCGTTGGTCAAATAAGTTGGGAAATAAATTCACTAAAGTTCTTGGAGCATAGTAAGGTATGTTTCTCCGGTTACGTTTCCATTAGAAAAAAGGACCTATTATGCGATCCCCAATAATTCCAGATCAGACGTTTGTTTTTTGAGGCCCTTGGGTATGGCATTCACGCATTCAACGTGGATTTTCGTCAGCCCAATAACGGCAATTCTGCCAATCGATGTGCTCATGTAATGTGAACATAGCTTCATCAGAAAATAGCCCCCATTCCAAAGCAATTTGTCCACCATCGATAAAAGCCATAATTCGTTCACAAAATTCGAATCTACTATCAGGTACATCTTCGTTAAGCTCGTGCAGGTTTTGCTTCTTATATGGGTGCTTTTTGGCTTCTTTAAGATTTTTAAAACGCTTGTGTGACTAGACACCATGAACGCTAGCTATTTGCCTAACTGGAGTGACA